CAACCGATTGCAGTAACCGGTTGTAGCAACCGGTTGCTGTAACCAGTTACAGCAAACCTATTGACCCTGCAGACAGTTGCTGTAATGAGGGTCGGGATGGGCGGGATAGGGTCAATACGTTTGTTGTAACTGGTTGCTGCAACCTGCCTGTGGGACTGCAACCGTGAATGCAGTGTTTCTAACTGTTGTCTTTCCCGTCGTGTCCGTCCTTGCAGCAACCGGTCACTATTCTTCGTCAGCTTCAACGTCTTCGACAGTCCCACATCCATGTGCGTCATGGCCAGTTCAAGCAAGGGCAGGAGGTGGACCCAAAAGGGTATGGGCAGTACAGGGTGAGAAGTAGGCTGTGCAACCAGTTGTTCACAGCATCGAAGTCACGTGCGGTGCAACATTTCCTGAAGAAGAGAGCAGCATGTCCTTACCGCACGGGGGAGATTCTCCATTTGTTGGAGTTGGATGGAGCTAACATTAAAGAAGGTGGTGCAACAACTCAGACAATGCTGCATAAGTACAGAATAGATAATGGCATCGGCGAGGACTGCGGCTTGGAAGCGGAGCCAGTGCGTCAGGCAGCAACGGAGTTGGAGCGGCATATTGTCCCACCGCCTGCACCGGGGAGGGACTCTATTGTAAACATTGACACCGCACAAGAAGCTGAGCCTGCCGATCCAGATGTGGTGGTGGGAGATGAGATGGCCCCTGGTCCGTCAGGTCAGGCATCCACAAAGGTATCGAAATCGGGGAAGACAACACAGACTTCCATTAGGAAGTGGACAGAGAACACCGCCCAAAAGAGACTTGATCTTGCATGGTTGGAGGCATTGTGCAGGGCGGGCGTGCCATTCAACTTCATTCGGTTGGACATAACGAAGGAGCTTCATGACATGTACATGGAGTTCGCGGTCCRCAACGCACGAATGGACTTGCCTGCCTTTGAAACCATCCGGACAGTGGCTTTGAATATTGTGTATGACAATGTTCGGGCAGAGGTGCGGCCGCTTATGGACAAGTGGGACATCAGCGGTTGCACTCTCATCACCGATGAGACCCAAGACAGGAAGTCGAGGGCTGTGTTGAACTTTGTAGCGGCTGGAGAGAGCAGGGCTGGCTCATCAAGGTTGTGGATGTCTCTGATGGGAAGAAAAACACGAGAGCATTGGCAAAGTTATGGGAAGAGGTGATAAGGGAGATCGGTGTTCACAGGGTCAATGCAATCTGCACTGACAATGCATCAGTGAACAAGCGAGCGGCGAAACTCCTGTCAATGAGGACTTACAAAGCCATTGCGAAGATTCCTTGGATCCCTTGTGCTGCCCACACCCTGAGCTTGCTACTGAAAGACATATCCAACATCGCATGGATCAAGACGGTGTGGAAGAAAGGAAGGAATTTGGTGAAGTTCATCAAGAATCACCAAAGCACGATGGGGTTGCTGAGTCGGTGTTCCATGGGAGACAGGAAGGTGCTTGTCATGCCAACGGAGGTCAGATTCGCATCTGTTTACCAGATGTTGATTCGTATATGGGACAGGAGACATGTGCTGAAGCACATAATGGACAACGGCTGGTTTGACATCTATTGGAGCAGTCGGAAAGACAGGGAGGATGCAGAGGATATCTTCGCTCATGTGAGATGTGACATCTGGTGGCAGAAGGTGGACACTATTCTCTCCATCATGAAGCCCATATACGACCTGCTGCGAATGATGGACAGTGATAAGGTGGCGCCTTCACAGTTGTGGGGCTTCGACGACCTCCTCATCAAACGGATGCGGACCATGTCAAGTGTGACCAGCGAGCAGCACCACGAGATAATGAAGTTGGTCGTCAATCGTTGCAAGATGATGCGTCAGCCAGCCCATGCAACAAACTTCTTGTTGTCACCTGCGCGGAGGGACCCCAGATGGTTGCTGAACAAGGACTCCCCACTCGTGCACAACGCATTGAAGTTCTTCTTGACACAGTTGGGCAGGAACTCTTGGGGCGATTTGGACTCTCACGAGGAAGTGTGGAACAGCCTGTGGACATTTCATTGCCAACCACCGAAGGAGAAGATGAAGGATGAGGATTTGTGGAATCGGTTCGTTGTTGCCGACGCAACTTTGGAGAGGAAGACATCATCTCAATGGCGGGGCTTGTACGGGTGAAAGCACATCGAATTGCAGAAAATCGCATTGCGGGTGATGGCAATATGGAGCACGACAATGCTATGCGAAAGGAATTGGTCGTCCTTGGACTTGGTCCACTCCAAATGGCGGAACAACTTGTCCAGCGAAAGTGTAGTTAAGTTGGTTTACTACATTCACTGGAACATGCAGTTGTTGCGGGTTCCCAGGAGCACGACTGACGGGTTCATTGACCTGTGGGCAACCTTCTTCGACGAGCTTGAGGCACCTCCGGTGACGAACGATGCAGCCAAGGATCGCCGTGAAGTGGACAAGGAGGAGGAGGCGGCGAGGGTTGCACGCCTGAAGAAAATTCCAAAAGGGAGGCTTCCCGCTGGCTTGTTCAGCGATGATTCTGGGAGCAGTGACAACGAGGACTTGGTGTGGTGTGATAAGGTGGAAAACAGGGTGCATCCAGCACGAGGTGGGAAGGGGAAAGGGAAGGCCGCTGTTGTTGAAGACGAGGAGGACGAGTGGGATGATGATTATGATGATGATGACAACGACTCGGATTTTGAAATTCGTCCACGCACGGGCTGCATGGACTCAGACATGAACGGAGGACGGGCCGACTTGTGGGACGTGCCTGAAGCAACGTGTCACTTGGACAGTGGCGATGACCTCATCGTGGAGGACAGTGAGGCACGTGATCGCAAGGTCAGAGCGGAAGCACAATCTCTGGCGGACAGGGATCGTGTAATGGTGCAACAACATATGGCAGAGGAAAACTCACGTCGACTAGCAGTCCCGGCACACCTGAGAACCGTGGAGGGGCATGTGCAGCAGCAGGCCGAGCAACGACCACAGGAGCTGGTGGAACAGCTGGTGGAGCAGAATCCGCAGCGGGTGGTGCGGCAGCAGCAGGAGCAGCGCCCTCAGCAGAAGTAGCATGAGGTGGAGCCAGGGCAGCAGCAAGTGGAGAAGCAGTTGAAGCAGGACATGGAGCAGGAGCAGCAGAATATGAAGCAGCAACAACAACA